CCCCCCCCCTCCCACCTTTTCTTATTATAAACATGTTCTCAAAGCATAAACTCTTCCCTATCTTTCTCCCCAACACTCTGTTTCACCTCAAGGCCGGCAAAAAATCCGCAGTGGATAGTCATTCAATCTCGACTCTGCCTGTTTCCGCACCTCGTGGATCCCTACCTTCCCAGACTAGTCTCCTTCCGTCACCCAAAAGATTAGTAGACGCCCGGCAGCTACCGCCTTCGGTTATTCATCAAAATCTAGCAACCGATTTCTCCGTTCCCAGGACCCTTTCTGCCGCACTGTGGATGTTTTTCACCCATCCATCAATCCTTCTTATACTATGTGGCCTCGCAGGGCTTGTGGCGGGCCGATTTTCTTTCAGCGGTCCTTCCTCCTCCCTTTTGCAGATTTTTCTCGAGTGCTCTCTAGTCCTGCTCACAATTGTAGGCTGGATTCTGCAGGAGTGGTTCCTCCACCGTTTTCTCCTCCACAGTTCCTTTGACTGGTTTGGTAGGGAGATCCACGCACAGCATCATGCATTGCCCTTCTACCATGTCTCCATCGACCCTCCCCTGTTAGTAGGCGTCTGGGGCGCTATAGCTTGCATCCTTGGGTGGGTGTTTGTTCCGCGGCCGCTAGTGTGGACGGTGTTGGGGGTGAGTGCGACACTGAGAGGATCGCAGTAACATGACTACTTTTTAGCCTCACGCGATTTCCTGTCCTCACTTCCCTCCATTCCTTCCCTTCACCCCTCAGACCTATTGGATCATGGGCTTATTTTACGAATGGGCCCATTTTAGCGTGCACACCCGCGTGAGGCCTCGCACTGCGCTTGGGAAAGCCATCAAAGCCCACCACACCAAGCATCATCTCCTGGACGAGCGCTTTTGGTTCGCGTTTTCCTGGCCAATGATCGACGCCTCGCTCGGTACAGTGCCAGCAAAAGAATTGGAAGGAAAGGAAGCACGAGCAAAGAAAGCCAAGAAGAGAAGAGGAAGTAAGGGCTTTCCGAGCAAGAAGGGTCCTATGTGAAGAAATGAGAGCGTTGGGTCTTGTGCAGTGCTCCGGCTGGATGGGAAGGCACTGTAGGGGGCGTCACCCACGTGGAGTGTAACAGTAACATTTGTGCATGTGTGTGTAAAAGGAGGAGGAGGAGGTAACGATTGTCGGCACAAAAAGCAGGGCCGGGGCATCAAATGCGTATGACTACTTTTTCATTTTCAGTTTAGCTTGGTCCCGACACGCCCTCATCGTTTACATCACATCCCGAAGGCGCAAACTCAGGCGCATGCTCAGTGTTTTACGTCTTCTTTTTCTATTAAAGTTCGCGCAATTCCGTCTACGCCCCGCGCGTAATGATTGCTCTTCACCTAACGCCCGTACCCATTGCCGCCCCCTCAACTCCACTTGGCTTTCTTGGCTTTTATTTCATCAACTCTTTACCACGACCTCGTTGCCCCACCTACATAATCAGGACTCAGTTCCTTCCCCCATCCTTCGACCCCATAACCGCTTCCATCCCTCCCTTGGCCCCTCCCTCCTCTTCGCCTTGCCTCCAGCCCCGCCAGTCGTACCAGTCGTTCCCCAAGTGAGCATCCAGAGGGCTCCCTGCCTGATCGGAGAGAAATCAGAGGCGAAATTGTCCCGACGCATGAGCTCTCGTCTATTTTTACGCTTACACTTACACTGTCTCATTGGACTCGCGGGCGTCCTGCCTAGGCCTTTCAACAGAGACACGGTAACTATACTCGTCGACGCTTCCATATCTCTCTCCGTCTTTCCCCCTCGTTCCCTCCGTCCTATTCTCCTTCCCTTCCAACGCATTTCCTCATTTCTTGTCACAAACACCCTCCCTCCCCCTCCTCCTCCCGCCTCTCTAGCCTTGTCTCGCAAAGGGCTTCGCCCCACCCAACACTTTCCTCTTACCTGCCCCTTTTGCGCCATCCCCGCCGTGTTTCTCTCTCCCCACGGCCACCAGCCCTGTGGAAAAGCCCGAAGCGTCGACCAATCAGCATACAGCCCAAGCTGGCATCGTCAGCTTCTCCCTCCCCCACAGCGCCTGCCCCTCCCCACCCTCTATCCCTGCCTCCCGTCCTCTTCGTCCTCCCTCACCCTCTCTCCTCCAGCCTGCTGCGGCTGCTCCTTTTGTTCCGGTTGCTCCTTTTGTTCCGGCTGTTCCGGAACTTCGGGAGAGGGAAAGTGCATGCCAGTACCGTGCAAAGAGGTGGCACCATTGGGCGCAGGAGGTCCCTCCTGCTCACGCGGGAGAGCGGAAGGGAGAGGTCCCGAGTCCTGATAGAGCCGGGCGGGTCCGCTGCTTCCTCCCGCCCCGCCAGGAATAAAATGAGACCAATCGCCTCCCGGGCCCATGCTCGAGCCCCCCGCGCCCCCCTTGGCATCCTTGTCCTTCTTCTTCCCTTTCTCCGCGGAGGTCGAGGACGGTGCCCCGCCACCGTGGGTGTACTTGGACCAGTCGAAGCCACCGGGGCTTCCGCCGCTGCTCCCGCCCGAGGAGGAGGAGGAAGGCGGGCCGGAGGGAGGCCCTCCGCTCCCGGAGCTTCCACCTTTGCCACTTGCCCCGTTCGTGTATTTGGACCAGTCGAAGCCGCCCTGG